TCCTTTTTGAGGAAATGTAGATTAAGCCGTTGCATAGACAATGCATGTTGGACCTCTGCTACGCCTCTGTGTGAAGCGAGGTGGAAGGTAGCAATTTATCAACTACTAAACATTAGTCTCTTTTCACTGCTTCCTTTCTATAGATATCTTTATCTTATATAAATATTAAGCTTAAACTGAGTGGCACTTTTCTTTGTTTACATACAATGATTCAACAAATAACTCTTTAATCAGAACTTCACATTCAAATGGGCAGTTGAAATCTCTGCTTCTGAAGGATGAGTAAACTAATGTTGATGATTCTTTGCCTACCCAAAAATTATAGGCACACTGCAATGGTTCATTTTACACCAAGAGTCTCAATTTTGCTGTTTCATTACTTGCTCTTTCCCATCAAACCCAGACCGTTGCTGAATTCTCTCAGGGCTTTTCGTCTCCTGCCACCACTGCCTATTGCCTAGGAGTACCCGACAGCAAAGGCTAAATCGAAGGTAAAATCAGCTGGGTTGGTTGGAAATCAGGTAGGCAGCAACCAAACACTATCTTAACTATAATAATTCGGTGTAGCTCTGCAGCTCTCAAATGACTGACATATAGAGCTTCCTCATTCCTGGGCCTCAGCACCCCTCTGCCCTATAGATCATCCACAGAAGTGCAGCAATTCTTTTTTTTTTTTTTTCTTTCTTTAAAAGCAGTATTAGCTCCCCACTCCTGTCTTCCCTGTAGTCCACGTCCTTATTCATGCCAAAGTATCAGTCATTTTCTTTTTTTCATATTTGCTGTCACTGCTTCCATTTCTTCATTTCATCCTACACTTCTTTATTGCTGTTATAGTTGTCCTTTTATCCTCTCTTCTAACTAAAAATTGTCTCTACCCAAAACCACAGACACATATGTGAGCAACTTCAAACCAATCCTGGGGTCCCTGAAGTCTTAATCCAGATCCAATTTTTGCAGCTTGAGCCATCTCTAATCCCTAATTGCTCCTGTCATCTCTTTCTCACAGCCCTGGCTGTATGCCACAATGTTTTATGCTGCCTTCTGTGCTTGGAAATAAAGTTACAATGCCCTCCTGTCTCTTCAGTCTTAAAAACATATTTATTTTCTGAATGCTTCCTTCCACTGACTTTTTTGCCGAAAATTTTGTATATGAGCTGTTGTCAGCAGTTTGGCTATAGAGCGTACTAGCACTCATAACATGTATCAAAAGCCGCAAGCAGCATGCTGCCTTGTGGTCACTCCCCCAAAGAGAGGACACCTACATTTTTGTATATGATCCAAGGACTTGGATTTGCAAAGCATTTTTTCTAATTAGTATTTCTTGTAAAATATATAAACAGTCCTCAGCACAGGAATTAAAAACCTGTCTGAGAATCCAAACCACAAAGCTATAAAGACATATAACTCATGATGTTCTCTTTTTAGTGCACTGAGATTGCACACAGCCACAGCTTCAGAAAACGGAGCAGCCACTGAAATCCAGAATGGCCTAGTGTTTTGGGCTCCCTCCTAGGAGGTGGGAAACCAGTTTTTCTATGTGCCTCAAGAAAGACAGAAAATTGAAAACAGGGCTCTCAGATTTTGTGTTGGTATTCTGGTTACCGAGCTGGTGATATAACAGTAGTATCAGCGATAAATTCCCTCTCTCTGGGTTATAAAGGAAAACAGTGAGCAGCATCACATCTTAGGTAAAGGGCAATATCATATGCTTGTGCTAAACATCAACAAAAATATCTGCTGGATTAAGCACTTTCAAGACCACTACTTTTGTATTCTTCCTCATATAGATTGCTTCAGTAATTTCCAAAGATCTACAGTTTTCTGCAGTGAAAATACAGTTTTCCATGTGAAATTTCCACCTATCTTAATATACTTTCTAATTGAAGATGAAAGAAAGAATTTCTAGTAAATTCGGTCAACATTTGCCAAGAAATGAGACAAAAGACTTTCATCACAACATTCAAATCATTATATTATTTATTTTCTTTTTAATTTCATTTTGGTGATTACCTTTTCTTCAAGACTCTAATTGTGACTTGGGTAGACAGAGGTGACATTACAGTGGTTTGCAGGAGATCTCCCAACCCACTATTTTATAAAGCTTAGGCCAGACTGTAGATACTGAACGTTGCATGGACTGTAAGCTTACGTGACCAACAAAGCCAGATGTGAATCCTCAGAACACTGACACATCAGCTCAGGAAATGCCAAAGGATAAAGGTTTATAAAAGTTGCATTTGTGAAACAGTCAGCTGCAACTTAGGAATATTTTTTTTCGTAATGAAAACACTGCTACCAGGGGAAAAGAAGAGATCTAGTATGCTACATATGACTCATATATTATCTAATAATTAGAGAAATGTAGGCAGCACAGTTTAGTTTAAAGAAAAAACAAACAACGGATCAAAAAAACACAAACCAAAAATCCAAACCAACAACCATCCCCAACTTAATGAATTAACTAAAAAAATTGGAAAGACGATTCAGTTACAGAGCTAAACAAGACTGTGTTCCCAATGGGGAAAGAATGAACTTATTCCATTATCAAAGAGTATCAAAAACTGTAATACAATTATGTGAATTAGTACTGTACTTCACAGGCAAGACTTTCAACATGGGTGTGATTTAATAGGTGCCTGACACAAAACAAGCAGTAGTCCTGCTAAGTTTCTTTCGTCTCTGGAGAACCTGATTACAGGCATTGCCCGAAGTGGCAAATTAACCCCATCTTTTCACAGTGGAATAATTTTGCTAGTTTTAACTACCTTATACTAGATTTACAATGACATATGATAGTGCAGGATAAGTTCCATTACTCCGCATCAGGAAGTACACCAAGAGTATTCTTACTCAACCTCTGGATTTCAAACAATTGACTAATTGATAAAAGTGACTGATGCTCCACGACATTACACTGGCTTAAGCCAAGAACAAGCAAGGAGTGAAAATTCTGTACTATTGGTGGTGGAAGCAGAAAACACAGCATAATTTGGTTTGGTATGAATTCCAAGTGAAGATGAGGAATCCCATGCTTCCCTCTTTAGGTAGCAACTGCTCACACATAAACATTCATGCCAGA